AAGGCGATTTGAAGAAGATCTGAAAAAAAATTGAAATAAAAGGAAGAAGAACCTGAATGTCTGATAAGAGCTCTAAAGTTATGAACTGTCTGAGAAAGTTTGAGAGTCATCCTCGCTGACTGATCGAGATTCCAGCTCCAGGGTCATCAACTTCAAATGTTTCTAGGTCCCCAGATATTCCTCCAGGGTCAGCGGGTGAGGGGGAAAGGGATCACCGAAATCCTGAGCAGGTCTCAACTGCTCTTTGGGATCCACCCTTGTCCAATCCTTAAAGTGAAGTTGATAGTCTCTTTCCAAGTCGCCCTCCTGTCCCTTTTTATGGCCTTCGTTCTGCTGCTGGTCCAGCCTGTCTCCTGTCCAACTCACACTCGCGACCCAACCCTCCCTCTTCCCCCCCAGCCAACCTTCACAAAACCGGGAGATAATGTTTTTAATTTCAACCCTGCTGCGCACCTGATTCAGGTTTTCCTTAACTCATTGCTATTGTGTCGTGATCTCATGCTGGAAAAAAAGCCGTATCTGCTATGTGACTTCCCCTTCTTCCACCTTGGGCCCCTCTAATTCCATAATGCATCTTCGCCACCATATAGCCCACATGACAGTAGAGAGTACATATTTGCTACAAAGGTGTTGTCAAGAAACTGGGGGTAGTGTCCTAGCAGGATTGCCCTCCAGTCCCAAGGCCATAATGAACCTGGAACGATGTTCCGCCAGATCCTATCCCACCATCGCCATAACAAGACAGCTGCAGGGCATTGTAAGAAAATGTGCTCAACCGTCTCTGGGCGTTTTTTTCGGGGGAAATTTTGCCGGCAACCCCGACACCAGGGAGCGCCCTTCCTTGTTGTTCGAGTTGCGTATGATCAATCAGCCAGTCATTGGTCGACAGTCAACGATGAGTAATTTGCCATTGAAGAGTGGAGATTTTTGTCGGTTTTTTCTTGTACTCGCTGAAGCATTGGATAGGTTTGAGTGTGCTTCTATCTAGATTAAAATGACGCTGCCATTTGTCCTCCACCACGTCACGTAGCCTACGCTTGGGTTTGAGCATTCGGTAGACCGACTTCGTTTTTAGGGCAGCTAATTGGACCGTTCTGTCCTCCCCCCATCCTCGCCTTCCCCTGCCTTTCCACGACCATCGCCATTCTTGGGGATCAAAAGAGAGGTTCTCAATCGGGGTCATTGGACGATACGCTCTCCAACCATTCCCCTCTTCGATCACCCTGATGCGATAGACTTCTGATTTTCTTTTCCAGATGAAAGGTTATCTACTCCCTTGTAGCCGCCCTGTTTCTGTGACAACGTAGCATTCAACCAGGACTTGTGCTTGATCCACTATGTGCACTCGGCCTATTTGTGATTCGTGACCAGGTAGCCCCACCCAATCATCCTCTTCCAACGTTGGACCTTTCTTAAGCCTCGTGTACCATTGGATGGGGAAACTTTCAATAAGTTCTTCCATTTTTGACTCTAGTGAGTGGCAGTAGCTCAAGCATTTTTTCATTCTTGCTGCACTGTTTCATTCTCCGCTTGCCACATCCCATAGGTCCCCCACCCCATGTTTTGCCCAAATTTTCCATGGGGAGTCCGAGTTGTTCCTTACCTCGCCGAGGGAGTCTGTGATTAATCTATTGCCAAACAGCGGTTACCTGATTATCTCTTCCCATCTATCCGGGGCGGGGCGGTCGGGGATTGAGAGTTTCCTCCACGTGCGCAAAAGACGTATCTAACGTTCATCTGCCGGATCATCATTCGTGTATTTCCTAGAGAGTCTCCAGTATCTGTCCTCGAGCCATATCAGAGGGTCAGTTTCTGGTGGGGCTTCCGGGGCCAAAGTCACGATTTGCGTCAGGGCCAGGAAAACCCAGGGGGAGGAAATTTCAAAAATAATATGTTGAATCTAGTGGATGCTCAAGGTCTAAAACTGTGTGGAAGGGTCCACTATTCCAAGCCCCCCTCCGACCTTGGGCTGAACGACAGAGTCCCATGCCACATGACCGATGGCATGGGTATTACTATTACCCCTCTCCATCATAGGAAGACCGCCAGTTGTTGCTTGAGCGTCTTAAGCCCTCCTTTACTCATGGGCCATAGGATGACGCTATACCAACGAGTGGCAAGCACAACATTATTGATGACAAGGGCCCGCCCAAAAATTGAGGTGTGCTTGTGGTTCCAACTCATTAGCTTGGCCTGTGCCGGTCTAATCAACCACTCATCATTTGTGATGGGTTTTCCTTTTGCTGTGATCGACGCTCCTAAGACTCCAAGGGGATCGCCCGGGGGAAGCCAAGTGATGCGCGGGCTCTCTGGTGGTCTGCCCCCCTGGTGGTGCAGCCACCAGCCCACAATTTTTTACCCCCAATTAATGGGGGAAGTAGTGGGGAAAGGGGTGCTAACTAACCAACTGGGTGTAGCTCAGTTGGTAAGGCGTTCAAGCGGCACTCAGGAGGTCGTGGGTTCAACTCCCATTGCCCCCACGATAGTGCCTGTGACATGCTTGGCGTCTTACCTTCGAGACGGTCAGTTGGTAAGCAAGTACATGGTAGCTCAATGAGCAGAGCTCTGGTGTTGCAATGGGGAGGTTGTAGGTTTAACTTCACAACTTTCCCTGAGCACAATTAGTTGGTGTAGGTTGCACCCCACGTACTTGTCTCGAGCCTGGCATAGCGCCCTTACAGACTAACGACCTCAATAGCTCAGTGGGTAGAACTCTGATGTACTAACTTGGAGGTCCTGAGTTCAACTCCAACTATGCTCATTCATCATATCAGCTAAAGGGATTATCCTCTGGTTTTGGGTGGGGACGTGTGTCTTTCCTGCGAGAAAGTTGATGTGGGATGGATGCTACTCTCTTGGGCAGGTGAGTAGTAAGGGGTTGGTTGGGTGCATGGTGGGGAGGGTTGCCTTGTAGGGAAACCAATGTCGAATCAAGAGGTGTGTCCTACTCCCAATGTCTGTGGACCCATTTCGGGGTGGTGGGTTATCTTCAGAGGTAGGTTGGGGGTAGTTGTTAGACGACGGTCGAGATCTCCACCATTACCACTGGTTGATTCTCCCTGGCAAACAGACATAAGCAAGGCTCAACAGTAGCAGAAAAGCAACCACACACATCCACATAGACTATGATATCACATTAGCTCACATAACAACCAGCATACGCAACAACTAACAGTAAACATATATGATCCGAGTTGTGCTAGGTTAGTGCTTAGAGGGGTTCAAAGGTTAAGACCTTGGTTAGTTGACCATTAGACACTGCCTATGAGTGCCCTCACTACTTACGAGACTAGCTGAGAACTATGTGCCTAGCTCCCGAGGTTCCCGTATAACGAGGCTTGTATGCTAGTGCCTCAACTGGGGCTGAATGGGGGAACCCGTGTCCGCTGTCTGGTCAGGTTGCTCCAGTAGAGAGTGATGTTCCTCACATGAGGTAAGATAGAAATGGAGTGGGGTGCGCTAGGAGATATATCGAGAGGAGTGGTGGGATGGGAGTCTTGTGAGTAAAAAAAAAATAATAATAATAAAAATAAATAAAGAAAGGGGTGCTGACTCTTCTGTACAAAAAAGGGGATAAAATGAACATTAGGAACTACAAACCAATTACTCTCCTTACAGTGGTCTACAAAATTCTTTCCAAAGAAACAAGTTTTTTCCCCTCCCCCTCCCCCCATGAAATGCCTCCTGCTTGAGTTTCGAGTGCGCACCCTCGGGACGCAAAAAAGTGAAAGATTTTGGTTGTGTCGTGATTGAGTTTCGAAGGCGCACCCTCGGGACGCAAAAAAGTGAAAATAAAGCGGGTCGCTCTAAGGGGGGGGTGGAACGACGATTTTGGCTTCGCTCTTGAACTCAAGTGGTGTGGCCCTAAAGCGCTTAGTCTGAACTGCCACTGCACGCGTCCAGACCCAACCTCGGCCCGTTGCTACGGACCTTCGCTCATCCCATGGCAAAAATGACTGGAAGAAATGTCTGAATCTGGACGTGTTTGAGGAAAGGTGCAAAAAACTGTGAATGATCTGCTGTTCTGGATCTCTGCGCGGAAGACGTCCAGATTCAGACACTTATTCCAACCCTCTTTGCCAGTGGGATCTGGCCCTTAGTGCACCAATGCAATGTTGAAGCATCCTCCCCGCTGTGTCTCTGCGGGGCGGCGAAGGGCCTCTCAAAACTGATGACAGCTAAAGTCATTCACCACCCCTCTAAACCCACTGTAGTCATTCACCACCCCTCTAAATCACTGTAGTCATTCACCACCCCTCTAAACCCACTGTAGTCATTCACCACCCCTCTAAACCCACTGTAGTCATTCACCACCCCTCTAAACCCACTGTAGCGCCAGTCGTCTGGATGAGCCTTGTTGAACAGATGTGAGGGATGCCGCACCCTGCTATACCCCAGCCTTTAGGGGTACGAACTCGTGGGTTCGTTGGTGCATTGCAGGATGACGTGGCAGTCCGAGGTTCTGTGTAGTTCGGGGTTCAGCAGGAGGACGACCTCTCCGGGACTCTGGGAGACTACTGTAGGGCCCTTTTTTTTTGCATCACATCATTGTCCATCCACCGACATTTTGAATGCATCTAGACAATCATGTCCAGATGCATTCAAAGTCTTTCTTGTAGGGTGGCGAGTGGTGCGACTACCGGTAGGCCCTACCGGGGACTGCGGGACCAGAGGCGTATTGCAAGACGAGCTGTGTCCCGGTCCCAGTCGCGATTAGGGTTTGGGCAAATCTCGATCTCTCTCCGCCGCCGCGCGTGCGAGAACTGTTTTTTTCTGTTTACGTACGAAGCGGACATCCGTAGAATTTTTCGTGTTGGGATTACCGCGAGTGTGTGGAGTGTTTGCGGCTGGGGAGAAGGGGGGAGGGAGGAGTAGGGAGGAGTAGTAGGAGATGTTAGGTGTGGAGGCGGATGTGGAGCCGGAGGTGGAGGTGGTGGTTGATTAGCGCTGAAGCGTTTGTAACCGTTGATTGGGCCGATGCGTTGGCTGGTGCGGTGCATGCCAAGGCGGCGGCTGCAATCGCTGACGTGTCCTTCGCGGCGCGCAGTGCTGTCGGAGGCGGTCGAGGTCGAGAGAATTAAGGTGACAGAAGTCGATTGTCTCGCCTCTGCAGGGGAAGGCGAGAGTAGTAGTGGTAGTAGTGGGAGTTTGGGTGGAGTCCAAAGTATGCGATCGAGCAAAGGCAGCAAAACCATCAATCAATCAATCAATCAATCATCAATCAATCAATGATTGGAGGGCTGGAGACGTGGAAGAGGAGTCGTCGGAGTGGATGACAGGGAGGAAGCACGGGCTTATGTGAAAGGATCGGCGACACAGACACTGTGTGTGTAAGAGAGAGAGAGAGAGAGAGAGAGAGAGAGAGAGAGAGAGAGAGAGAGAGAGAGAGAGAGAGAGAGAGAGAGAAGCGGATGGTGGGGCGAGGCAGGGGAAGGGAGATGACTCTCCCTGCGTGTAAGTACTTCGCGACTTCCCTGTTTTTTTTTCCCTTTTCTTTTTTTTTGCACTTCGCTCATTCTTCCCAAGTTCAGAGTCTGAAAGTCAAACAACCCTGTGGTCAATTACCCCTGCAGTAGTATCGGGAGACCCCCTCCCCCCNAAGAGGTGATGAACAGGCGGAGCTTTCCTTCTTTCCTTCTTCTGTTTTGTCTTTTTAGCCTTTGCGCTCCGATACAAGTACAATCGAATATATATCTGTCTCTTATACACATCTAGATGTGTATAAGAGACAGCCCCTTCCCCTTTCCCACTCCTCCCCCCTCCCCGCCCAACCTATCCCGTGTTTGACGGTGTGGAGCCCTTGTGTTGCACGCTTGGCCCATAACGTATGTGGTTTGTCGCCGTTCGAGTCCTTTTGGCGCCGTTTGCGTTCGTTTGTCGCCGTTTGCTAGCGTTTGTCAGCGTTTGTTGTCGCCGTTTGTCGCCGTTTGTTGTCGTCGTTGTCGCCGTTTGTCACCGTTTGTTGCCGTTTGTCGCCGTTTGTTGTCGTTTGTTGTCGTTTGTTGCCGCTGTTTGTTGTCGTTTGTTGTCGATGTAGTGCAGGGTTTTGCCGCGCACTCTGTCATGTCAGCGTTTGTACGCACTGTGGTGGCAAAGAGCTTCGTTGGCTGCCACGTGTACGCAGTCCATATGATCGTGTTATCCAATTGATGAACTCAGTCAAACAATTGAGGCGATTGGTCCCTTAACAGACATGATGGGATGTGTTGTGTAATTCGTAGTTCTCTCTCTCCCTCTCTCTCTCTCTCTCTTCATCTCTTTCTCTCCTTTCCTTTCTCTGCTACTCGTTTGGTGAACATATATTAGGGGATATTATGGGTGTTGTAATAAACACAGTCATATTGCTGTTATGTCCCGCTCTCTCTCTTCCGCTGTCTGCCTCCTTCGTCTCTTTCTCTCTCTCGTCGCGCTCTTTTTCTCTCCTGCTTTTTCTGTTATCAGACATGATGGGTGGTTGGTTGAAATAAACACTCTGTCACACTGCTTCTGATTCTCTCCTCTTCTGTCCTTTCGGCTCTCTGCCTCCCTCTCTCTGCCTCCTATTGTCTGCCTCCCGCTCTCTGGCTTCTCCCGCTCTTTTTTTTGTGACAGACATGATGGGTGATTGAAACGAACATTCTTTCTCTCCGTCTTTCTTTCGTACTCGTTCTCTCTCGCTCTTTCTCTGAACAAAGACTATGTGACGTTGTAGTAAACACTCCCTCTCGCTTTCTCTCCTGTTCTTTCTCTCCTGTTCTTTCTCTCCCGCTTTTTCTATTCCTCTCTCTGATACCGTTCTCTGCCTCCTCGCGCTCATTCTCTCCCCCTCGACGTTTCGATTGTTCTGCTCCTCTTTCTACCAAACTCTGTCCTGCTCCTTTCTCTTTTGGCTGGCTCGCTTTCTCTCTGTCGTTTCCTTTCTGTTTTCCGTTTAGCAGTGACGGCGAAGCGCATGTCAGAGCGGGAGACAAGGGAGACAGTGTCTGTGTGCGTGGGGGGGGGGGGGGGGGGGGGAGAGAAGGAAGGCGCAGAGTCACTGCTAAACGGACTCGGAGAATGAACGAAGGCTTCAAGCACGCAACTACCAGTGTCGTTCAGGCGTAGCCTATTTTTGTTTGTCTACTTCTTGCGGACGGAGGACCAGCTTCAGTGGGGGGCCCCGGCGAGAGAGAGAGAGAGAGAGAGAGAGAGAGAGAGAGAGAGAGAGAGAGAGAGAGAGAGAGAGAGAGAGAGAGAGAGAGAAAGAGAGAGAGGCACGGTGCTGTGACGTGTGGGAGGGATAGGTGGTAAGTGGGGTATGCAATGAGCAGGAGGGGCGCGGAAGTTGGCTGGGGAGAGAGAGAGAGAGAGAGAGAGAGAGAGAGAGAGAGAGAGAGAGGCACGGATTTAAACGAGTCATGTGTTCATATGTACATATTTATTTTCGTGCAATTGCTATTTGTTCGTGTGTGTGTGTGTGTGTGTGTGTGTGTGAGAGAGAGAGAGAGAGAGAGAGAGAGAGAGAGAGAGAGAGAGAGAGAGAGAGAGAGAGAGAGAGAGAGATGTTGCTGAAAGTGAGAGGTAGGCGCCTGGTTTGTATCTGTCTGTCTATCTGGCTGTCTCTCTCTCTCTCTCTCTTTCTTTCTTTGTTTGAGCGAAGAGGAGCTCTCTCTCTCTCTCTTTCTCTGCGCAATAGTGACGCACGTACCTGTACTCTCTCTCTCTCTCTCTCTTTTTGCGCAATAGTGACTTGATGTGTACGCCGGAAACGTCAAACGAAACAGCATCATGAGTTCGAATCCTGTCTAGAATCAGTTTTTTTGGTGTTTCTTGGAACTTTGTAAGTAACATATCGTTTGTTTTTGTTTGTCCTGATTCTGCCAGAATTAAAGGGATGCTATCGCCTTAGGGGCTTTTAGGTTTCTTGCTTTATTATCGGCCGTTAGAGCGATCGTTAAGAAATCGGCCGTTAGGTTCTGTTTCTGTTTTCTTTTTTATTGTTATTATTTTAAAAGTCGTTCGTTGGCGTTACCCTAGATTCTGTTTCTGTTAATATCGTAAAGTCACTGCTTTGAGACTCTTCTTCTTTCTCTCGGCAAATCTGGCTATATGCTGAAACCTCCGCCGAGTATCCAATAATGAATGCGTCGGTGCGGACAATCAGCAGGGAAGGAAGTCTGTCTTTTTCTTTCTGTCTCTCTCTTACTCTCTCTCTATTTCTCTCAATTTTTTTTTCCCTCTCTCCTTCTCTTTCTCTTTCTTTTCCTCTGTTTTTGTCACTTCGTCCCCGAGATTCTCTCTCTCTCTCTTTCTGTGTCTCGCTCTCTATTTTTCGCTGTTTCTCTCTTTCTCTTCTCTCTCTTTCTGTGTCTCGTTCATCGATAAGCTCTTTTTTTTGGGGATAAAATCATCCATATGATGACGAGTATACACTCGACGGTATGCACACGTGCGCAGTTTTCACACTTGCGCAGTTTTCACACGTATGCAGTTTTCACACGTGTGCGGTTTTCACACGTGTGCGGTTTTCACACGTGCGCAGTTTTCACACTTGTGCATATGGTTGTGTGAATATACGTGATGAGGCCTAACGTGTCTGTACTTTTCTGCTAACATGCCCGGTAGTGGTAAACTTTTTCGTTGATTACTTTCAATTTAATAAAATAGAAAATTCTATTAGTTTAATTTATCGAGTAAAATAAAATTACGGTGTATCTCTGTGACGTCGTATATATCGCTAAACAGAGCTGCTCGGTAAACCGTAGTAGGCAGGGAGGGAGGGAGGGAGGGAGGGAGAAGAGGACAACAAACGAGGAGGGGCTGTGACAAACTGTTGTTTCATCGAAGTTTCACCGACTCATCAGGAGGCTGACATATACAGGAAACTTTTATTGTTATTTTATTATTGATTTAATTTAGAATTTGAAGCAATTGAAACGAGTATGTTATCTCTGTGACCGTGGATTTCAGTTCGTATATAACTAGATATAATAGATATAAGTAGATATAATCGATGGATAGACTTGTGGTATATTTTTTCCTTCATTCTATTTCCTCTTTCTCGTTTCTCCCCTTTCCTCTTTTCCTCCTTTTCCACTGTCCTTGCCAGCCATTTCTCCCCGATGTGGAATGGCTTTTTTATATCGCGGGCCCTCTGTTGTGGTTCCGTTATGCCTTTCCAGCGGTGACCGATTCGGATCTGCGGGTAGACATACCAAGTATTTGTGGTTTGACAGCCACAAATGTCTGCCTACCTCAATGGCTTATCCGCGTCAATGTTATAGTGCATCCCAATTTCTTACGACTGCTTATCAGCTTGACGCTGTTGGAATTCAGTTGTTGTATGATCATAATAGTCCACCTCCTGAAGGCAGTAACTATATACTTATGCTACCTCAGGAGGCTTTACTGTAAATGTCTTACAGTTTCACGGTCGCCACCTTCTTCTTATGCATGCATCATGCGACGCCAGGCGATGACCTCAATAACCATCCTCATATTTCTGCCTGCATTTTGCACAGACCCGGGCATTATATGGCACTCATTCGTATACAGTTTCGGCGTGAATGAATTTTTGCAGCTTCCCAGTGGGAACTGTGGGATGGTGGGACGATGAGTCAGGTCATTTTCGGCGTGAACGAGTTTTTGGGTGCATTGTCGAATCATACTTTATTCTGGATTATTGACCGACTCTCGTGTGACAACTGTCGGGACAGAGACGCGGTGCGCCTAGGCTGTGGAATGCATCATCTATGCCATAGCCATTAATAATCTATTGCGACGGCCGCCGTCTGTACTGAAGGGTGTCCAACATTTCCTCATTGTACACATCTCTATCACCCAGATATATGTTGTCCCTTTTGTGCCCAAGGACGCTATCAGAACTGTATGATGCCGCACTGTGATGAACGTCCTGCTGTTTTTTTGACACGTGGACAACATCATGATGTCCTCTGTCAGGACTGTTTTGATGAGATGGTTCGTGCTAGCCGTCCTGCTGAATGCTGTGCTGGCGCATCTCTCCTTGGGCATCCTTGTGAACATCCACATCATCCTCACCGTAGCTGTCCTATCTGCCGAGGTGGGGACAGGTAAAAAAAAAAGAAAAGAAAAAGAGGAAAAAAGAAAAAAAGAAAAAAAGAAAAAAAAAAAGGAAAAGAGAAAAAAAAGAAAAAAAAATAAATGTTGATCTGTGGGATGTTTTATTTGCTTTGTGACAATTGGATTATCTTTCTTTCCCTGTCAGGTTTGGTTTCCTCCTCCTCACGTTACCTCTTTCTTTGCCTTTTGGCTGCGTGCAAGTGGGGGGTCCTTGTGACACACGGGGATGGGGTCAGCCAGCGCTCAACCTGTCATCCACGTGGCTGGCATGGCCTTGTACGTAAGAGGTGATGAACAGGTGGGGCTTTCCTTCTTTTCCTTTCCTTGTTTTGTTTTTTTCCGCCTTCGCGCTCTGATTTACAGTGTGACAATATATAGATAGACATAAATATGTA